TAATAGATGAGGACATCATTTCAGTAATCTGTTTCTCTACTTCAGTCTTATGATGATGAGCAAATCTATAAGGTCTAAGGTTTACTGGTTGTGTCCCCTATTTAAGGACAATTGCATGATCATATTTCCTACTAGGAGGCATCCCCTTTGGTTCTTCAAAAACCTCTTTAAACTCTTCCAGTAGTTCTTGTAATGGTAAAGGAACTACATTGTCTTCCACTTCAGCACTTAGCAAATAAATCTCCCCACTTAATTCAGTGTCTTTTTCTGCTAACTTTTGTAATTTCTCACCCGAGATTGATCTGATTAAGGGCAGCTTTTGAGACCCCTTTATAACTATATTTTTACCATCTTTCTCAAAACTGATGGTTTTAGTTTTAAAATCCATCATTATAGGGCTAAATACTTCCATCCAATCTACCCCCAATACCATATCACTACCTCCCAGAGATAACACTCTGAAATCATGCTGGAAATCATAGCCCTGCATCTTCCAACTCTCATTGTTGCTTCTAGCCGTACTGAACAGTTTCTCCCCATTAGCTACTGTAATAACTAATGGCTGGGTATGAACCAATTCAACCCCTTCCTTGGCCCATTGATGAGTTACAAAACTATGAGTGTTGCCACTGTCAATTAGTACATTAATAGGTTTTCCCTTGATAAAACCTTGAATCCTCAAAGTAGTATGTCCCACATTCCCTGTAATAGCATTGATAGAAATTTCCAAGACTTCTTTAGCTTGATCTTCCACCTCTATTCTCTTCTGTTAAATCCTGTTCAGTAGAATCTGTATGTTCTCTTCCTCCATACAATTCAGCTGTCTGACTTTGCACTGATGCCCTGGAACAAATTTTCTCCACATTTAAAACACAAATTGTTGGCTCTTCTATAATCCAACAGATTCTGTTTTGGGTTGGTATTATGAGGAACTGACTTAGGTAATAAACTCCTATTACCACTGTTCTGTTGATTGTTTGAAGGAGTATAAGAAAAAAATCTACTAGGAGATTTGTACTTCTTTCCTTCAATCTCATTAGCTAACTCATATAGTTTAGCTTGCCTATAAGCTTCAGATAGGTTCTTAGGCTCCAACACTTTCACCTTATGTTTTAATTCCTCCTTAAGACCACTAATGAAGCTAGAAACAAAATAATCCTCCCCTAAATACTGATGTTGTTGTAACAAATAGGGTCTTAACTCCTCAAACTTTTCTTGATACTCTTTTACATTACCCTTCTGCATTAACTTATTAAATTCTTCAATGATATCTGAATAGTTTCTGTCACAAAATCTATAACACAAATCAGCCTCAAATTCATGCCAGTCACTCTATGCTTCGCATAATAACCATCAAACCAAGTCTCAGCCTTCCCCATCAAATACATTGCAGCCACATCCAGTTTCTGCTCCTTAGGAACTCCCAAAAGATTAAAATATTTTTGACATTTTCGAACCCACCCTCTGGGATTACTGCCATCAAACATCAGTAACTCCAATTTAGGATGAGGAAACATAGGCCCAGAACTCCCAAACAAACCCTTATTGTCTACTTTAAACTCATAGCACTGCCCATAATATTTCTTCTTGCAACCTTTGAATTAAAAGGTAGATGACTAGAAAACTCCACAGGTTTAGCAGCTAATATCCCCGGTTCATTTGGTTTAAAAGTATACTTCTCATGCTCACTCAAAATCGTAACTAAACATGGTTATTTACCTTCGCCTTTGTTTTGGTTTTCAACTGCTGATGGTTGAATTCTTGCTGACTGAGGTGAGTCTGTAGGATTCTCTGTAAATAGCCCCTGTTCTCAATCATCCCATCCTCCAAGGTTTGTATCCTTCCCTCCAGCTCTGCCTTCTGCTCAACCCACCAAGATGGTAAGGTCTCTTCTTTCCCTTCTACTGCTTGTTCCGTTACCTCAATGGTTCACTTCTTTTGCATCTTTCTTGTCTTCCTCAGCGTGAAAAGAATGGATTTTTTGGATCTCCAAACTTAGCTCTGATTACCAATTTGTTATGAATTAGGATGAGAAATAGAAGAAATTAGAGATTTTAGAATTAGAAAGACTTAGATACAGAAAATGTTCTTCATTCATAAGATAACCTTTAAAGGATTGGTACAAATTATATATACACCGTACCAGCTATCATAACAAATCTAACAAAATAACCGTCCTAAGCTGACTTACCCTCCAAACTTCTCTCCTAAATTATAATAACCATTCAAGCCCACGTCTAGACCCACCTGTAACTTATATTGGTTTAAGTCACAGTAAGCCTACTAACCTTCCCCAGCCTAAGTCTTCAACCCGTCTCTTACTCTTCATTTCATTTTTACTTCAATTCCCAATTCCTCAGATAAGAACTCAATCCCTAGCCCCCATGTCAATCCCTAAATTCCTTCGATCCTTCCCCAATTTCTGATGTTGCTTCCCAATTCTTCCCTTCATCATTTCCCCCAAATCAACACGATTAAACCCTAACTTTCCTATCATCATAACAGTGGTATTTTAATCCTTTGCAGGAAATAATCTTTTTGGATGCTGCAAAGCGATTAAAGGTACGATGTTTACTGTTGAAAAGTTTCTTATATCTCATTGGTCAAATTGAGCATAGGACGTTAAATGAGTTTCTTCATTGCATTGAACATCATTTCGTTGTATTTGTTGCAGTGTGGTTCAGTAGATCTATTTATGGATCTGCATTTCAAGTAAGTACGGTGTACCGTATAGTTTTAGGTTTTGGCCATTTTTATTCGCGGTCTCCCCTTTAATGTTCTTTCTCTATGATGGGATCTTTCTTGTATGTTGATGTGGTTCTACCTTGTTTAGTGCAGGCAGTGTTCATTTTCCTACTTCTACCCTTTTTATCAAAACTTTGGGGCATCCCATTTAGCCAGCTTCCAAACTATCTTAAAGATGGTGCAGCTTGCTTCTTGAACGTAGGTGGCACTTTATCTAGTGGTAAGCCATAATTAAGACACTTTTAGAAAATTTTACTAGATTCTTGCAATAGTAGAGGGCCTGGATTGCACCGATGAGCTCAAATTACGGAATGAAGATAGTGCAGCTCATTATGAGAGGATGGAAGTTCTATTTGTTACGTATAGAGTTGGCTTGCTATTGAGATTAACCATTATGTTTTTACACAACCGCCCTATGTTGTGACTGGGTCGTGTCTCGAATGGAGCGAGTGATTGATTTAGTTTCATTGAAATTCCGTTGGCCTTAGGATGTGATGGTGCACCACTACTTCCCCTGCTGTTTGTTATTGTCAACATGGGTTTCAACATATCATTGCTACATCTTCTCAAGATCTCTTTTGGAGTGGTTTCTTCACTTGCATCCACTTTTTCGGGTAGGTCTTTGTATCCTTTTCAACATCCAGTACGAGTAATTAATTTCATCGAAATCTGTGCTTAACAATGCATGCACACACAAACATATGCATACCCAGGAAAACACAATCGAATTTATGATAATCTCGTATCCGTTCATATAATTGCGGTGCCTATTTCAGTCTAAATGTTCACGTTGCCGCTGCCGTATGTCGGTGTAGCGTCGTCGCTTCCAACCGGTTTCGTAGGAGGAGCAATCATCCTAGTGTTGGGGTTGCTTATTTATGCGTGGTCACCGACTGGTTCAGCCACGGCATTGCCCTCACCCTCTAGATAGAATGCGACAATTTACCCATCGTCGAGAACAAAATGAAATCAATAATACGGTACCATATCAAGTAAAAGCAGAGCAAGGCTGGCCCCTGAAATTGAGGGTAAGAGCAGATGTTGATCCTTTGTTCTAAAAGTTGTATTCCTTATTGTGCATACGATCCTTGTATGCGTTCCCATTGAGATTGTCTTCACGGGCTGTTGAATGATACATAGAAAGGATTTTGGTAATCAATCATTGCGATTTCTGCCTCCCAGTGCAGTGATGATATGGAATCATTACAATTTATTATGTAGAGCCTTTGGCTTCTTTTACAGGTCGAAATGTGGTCTCTACCAACTTGAACCACCTCTATCAACTTTAACAAACTCAACATACATCTCATAGTCCATTTGCACTCGTATCGGTACTAAAACATTGATATTTCACTTGTTTTTCTTGTATTCGGAGTTGATTTTATATCAAATTCACTCAAAATCGATAAAAATCATATAAAGTGATTGCATAATAACGTAGATATCAAAATTTTACATGAAAAATTATTTTGAAAAAGATCATAAGTAGAATTTTTTTTACTAATATCAAAAATAGAAGAGTATAAGAGAATTTTCAAAAACAACTTTTTAAATTCAATCTCTAATATCCATTTATTGGAGTAATTACTTGGTTAAAAAACAATAATAGAAATCCATTTAAATTATATTTTTTTATTTTTAATCAACATAGCGGTAAATATTCACTTTCAATCAAATTAAGATTTTTGGGTAAATTATGCATTTAGTACCTAAACTATAAGTTTTAGTCCATTTTAGTATCTAAACTTTTAAAATCACTCCTAATGTTTAGTTTTTATTTCATTTTAGTACCTCGGTATTAAAAGCTTAACGCGTTTAGTACATAAACTTTCAGTTTTGGTATGTTTTAGTACTTAAATTTTTATTTTTCAAAACTTAATGTTAAATTTTAAACGGGATTCTAAAATGAAACAAAAATTAAAGTTTTTAATGACGGATACTAAAATGAAACGTTAGGTACAATTTTAATAAAATTGAAAGTTTATGTACTAAAACAGACCACAACTTATTATTTAAGTATTAAATGTGTAATTTACCCTAGGTTTTTAAATTTTTTATTTTTTAAATTTTATATCTTCGTTAATTTAAATTAAATTGAATTAGAATCAAAATTAAACTTTAATGGTTATATTATAAGGTTTTTTTAATAACATTATACTATTAAGTTAAAATTGTTATAAAACGGAAACTTTAATAGCTAAAGGTATAATTTATAATTATTATTTGTAAGAAAAAAAGTAACGAAATACCGTTCAGCGAAATAAATCTAAAGGTGGTCGCCGCCACTCAATTTCTCCCTTCGAGCTCTCGGAGAGAACAAATTCGAGGAAAAATAAATCCCTTTCCTCACTGTTCTCGTTTTCTTGTTTTTCATGATCCCTTCACTTCAATATTTGGTTTTGCTCGTTTCTTCTCTTCGGATATTGAAGATTCACTTCGGTTTTCTGTTCTTCTATTTTGCTTCTTGGGTTCAGCTAATAGGTGCGTTGCTACAAACGCCGCTGCTTTATTTTCTCTGGAGACATGCATTTGTTTGGTTTTTCATTTCGATCATTTAAAATTTGAACTTCATATTAGACGTCGTGGGATCGAGTCCACAGTAAACAATTCATATCACGAAGCTGCTCTCAACGCTAGGCAGCCTACTACCCTACATCTCATTACATATGAGAATAGGGTCAGCCATTAGACTTATTCAATTGCTTCTTTTATTTATTTATTTTCTTTTTTGAATTTGTTAATTTGATAAATTTAGGGTATCTGATCTTTGGACCTATTTTGTTTGTCTGCCAAGAAGGGGAAAAAAACTTGAGATGCCTTTACTTGATTCTTGTTTACACTTTCAATATTGGATTGATTCGGATAGCTATGAACTAAAGCAGAACATGATTTGAGATAAACCTACTTATTATTATTATTTAATTTTTCAAGTGTTGTATATGATTGCAGTAAGCTAGCATGCAGATTTATGTATTCTGATTGCGGAATTTCATGTTCAAATATTGTACAAAGAAACTAATTTGGGGATTTTGCACTTGTTGATGCTAATTGGAATTTAAGAATACCGCTAGGTATATGACCTATAGGCTTCTGGGTTTGGGGAATTTTTTAGTCGACCTGTTAGAGTCAAATAAGAAGATTCCTTTTATTCTATTAGCAACTCAAAAGCAAGAAAAATATGTTAAGATCATAGCGTTTAAATGGCAAATCCATAGTTTTTTATTATTTTAAATGTCATTGTACTTTGAATTAATAGCTTTTATCTCTTCCAACTTTTGAGGAACCAAAAAGAAAAATTGTAAAAGGCATAAAAACAATTATAGATAATAGACTTAAGTTTGAGCTTATTTGATCTTTTCTTTTTTTGATTCATGTTGATCTGAACAGGGCAACTGTTGCAATGGGCAAGAAAAAACAAGAGGGCGGTGTTGGTACTGCAAAAGTTAAGGGAAGTAGCAAAGATGTGAGAAAAGAGAAACTCTCTGTTTCGGCTATGCTTGCCAGCATGGACCAGAAACCTGATAAACCAAAGAAAGCGGTCCCCTCTTTTAGTTCTACCTCTGCAAAACCCAAGGCAAAGGGTCCGAAGGTTTCATCTTATACTGATGGGATTGATCTCCCACCATCTGACGAGGAGGAGGAGGAGTATGCCTCTGAGGAAGAGCAAACTCAGTCTAATAGACACCAGAGGCAGGACTTAAGGCCACTTGAGACCTCTATAAGTGAAAAGGAACAGAAGAAGCGTGAAAAGAAGGAAATGCTTGCTGCCCAAGCTGCTGAGGACGCTAAACAGGAGGCCCTTAGAGATGATCACGATGCCTTCACAGTGGTTATTGGAAGTCGGGCTTCTGTCCTTGATGGTGACGATGAAGCAGATGCTAATGTCAAAGACATAACCATAGACAATTTCTCTGTTTCAGCTCGTGGGAAAGAGCTTCTAAAGAATGCCTCAGTTAAGATATCACACGGTAGAAGATATGGTTTGGTTGGGCCAAATGGGATGGGAAAATCTACCTTGTTAAAGCTTCTTGCCTGGAGGAAAATTCCAGTTCCAAAAAATATTGATGTGCTTTTGGTTGAACAGGAGGTGGTTGGTGATGATAGAACTTCCCTTCAGGCAGTTGTTTCCGCAAATGAAGAGCTACTTAGGGTTCGAGAAGAAGTTGCAGCCTTACAAAATGCGTCTTCTTCACCTGGAGGAGAGGATGACGGCAATCTAAATGGGGATGATGCAGGAGAAAGGCTTGCAGAGCTGTATGATAAGCTGCAGATCTTGGGTTCAGATGCTGCTGAAGCTCAGGCATCAAAGATTCTTGCTGGGTTGGGTTTCACCAAAGAAATGCAAGTTCGTCCTACTCGATCATTTAGTGGTGGCTGGAGGATGAGAATATCTCTAGCTAGGGCACTTTTTGTGCAGCCAACGCTTCTCTTATTGGATGAACCAACTAACCACCTTGACCTTAGAGCTGTTCTTTGGTTGGAGGAATATTTATACCGCTGGAAGAAAACATTGGTGGTTGTTTCTCATGATCGGGATTTTCTTAATACCGTTTGCACTGAAATTATTCATCTCCATGATTTCAAGCTACAGTTTTACCGTGGAAATTTTGATGACTTTGAATCAGGGTATGAACAGCGTCGTAAAGAGATGAATAAGAAGTTTGAAATTTACGAAAAGCAGGTAAAAGCTGCAAAAAGATCTGGGAACCGAGTTCAGCAGGAGAAGGTAAAAGATCGAGCCAAGTTTGCAGCTACAAAAGAAGCAGCAAAGAACAAGGGAAAGGGAAAGATTGATGAGGATGAAGCTCTAGTTGAGGCTCCAAAGAAGTGGAGAGATTACAGTGTGGAGTTCCACTTCCCTGAGCCTACTGAACTAACTCCACCTCTTCTACAAATAATAAATGTAAGTTTCAGTTATCCAAACCGAGAGGATTTCAGACTTTCAGATGTTGATTTGGGTATTGATATGGGGACTCGGGTTGCCATTGTTGGGCCTAATGGAGCTGGTAAATCTACTCTTTTGAACCTTATTGCTGGTGATCTAGTTCCAACAGAGGGTGAAGTACGAAGGAGTCAAAAATTGAGGATTGGGAGGTATTCACAACATTTTGTCGATCTACTAACTATGGGGGAGACCCCAGTGCAGTATCTTCTTCGTCTTCATCCAGATCAAGAAGGACTTAGCAAGCAGGAGGCCGTTCGAGCAAAACTCGGGAAATTTGGACTTCCTAGTCATAATCACCTCACTCCAATTGCAAAATTATCTGGAGGACAGAAAGCTCGAGTTGTCTTTACTTCAATTTCCATGTCAAAACCTCACATATTGCTATTGGATGAGCCCACAAATCATTTGGACATGCAAAGTATAGATGCTCTGGCTGATGCACTAGATGAGTTTACTGGCGGAGTGGTCCTGGTAAGTCATGACTCGAGGCTCATATCACGTGTCTGTGAGGATGAAGAGAAGAGTCAAATTTGGGTAGTAGATAACGGGACTGTGAACACTTTCCCTGGTACTTTTGAAGACTACAAGGAGGAGCTGCAAAGAGAGATTAGAGCAGAGGTTGATGATTGATACCACTATTAGATATCGAGTTTTCCAAATATATATAGCCATATAAATGCGTTAAGGCCTGCATATTTCTGGAAAAGAAAATATGCTCAAGTGTTCGTCTGTATCGGCTTCTTGTTTGAAATTCAGAGACTAGGAATTCTGCGTTGTGTTTTGTCGATTGGTTATGAATTTTTTTTTTTTGGATTATTTGTTTGTGTTGCTATGAAAAATTCTGTTCGTGGATGTTAGATCTGTTGTGTTTTTCCAGATTCTCTATGCACAATTTGCCTTGTTCTTAAACAAGGCTTATATTTGGAGTTGCACTTCCAATTTAAGTTTTATTGTTAGCTTTACGGTGTGGATTTTCGGATAAATTTAAGAATGATATTGGTCAGCTTTACATCGGCATGGTGCTCTGATTAAAACTTGTCATATTTCAGTTACATCGGCATGGATAAAAAAATGAATATAGATTATTACGTTAAAAAAACCCTTGTTTAGTTATGTTTTCCTAGCAAAATTTGAAAAAGAAAACGTGGACGCACCCTCGGCCAGGTTGCAAACAGATTACCAGACGTACAATTATAATTCAATACTTAAAACTTTATTATATATATAAACATGCGTATTCTTATACACAATACTATACAAAACAATGCATATATATATACACACGTATCATAGCTTTACATCACTTGGGCAGACTTGTTTTGTTTTGCGTCTTGTACCCTGTACAACAATACTGTAGACTAGCTATAGAAAGTATATTCACAAAGTACAGTCATGGTTTTAAAAAAACAAAAAGCCTTGTGTTTTGTGCTTCCCCACCGGAATTCAAGGTTTGACGCAGCAGTTAATGCAGCCCAATATCTTCTTCTGCATTTCAATACACAAATAAGAATGTCATATGCCTCATCTGTATATACCAAAAATATGGACAAATCTCGATCGTTAGCGGAACGGAATTGGCGTTGTCTCGGGGCCGTCGAGGAAAAGGATCGACCCTGAAATCACGTTCATCTCCAAGGCTACGCCTCGCATCAGACGTGCTTCTTCCTAGCCGCACGAGCTTGGGAGAATATCATTGAATAGTTCATGGATGCTTGGTCTTCCTGATCCCAAGCTCCAAATCGAGGGACGGGCATCCATGCCATATTCGTCTATGGTTGAAATCAAAATTTCAATGTCAAAACAATATTCACATATTCAAGACTTGATATTTACATAAATCCACTATAAATTATTCTTAAAGATCCAAATTTAAATATTATAGGAATCCGTTGTTTTCCAAATATTTGACTTCACATATTCAAGAAATTATGCATGGAGCAGACAGTGGCTTTGGCCACCAAAAAATGATTTGATTGGATTTTAGTATCTTTTAAGATAACAAAATTCTGAATTAATATAATAATAAAAATACACTTCTATTAAATACTAAGCAATTAACTCTATTATTAACCTCATTGAAAATGACAAATACACTAATTTGAACATTCATATTGAATACCAAGCAATCCAAAAATAAATAGAATTGTAATGCTTATTTCTGTACATTATGAATATTGAATCTCCCAACTACAATGTTAATAAAAAGAGAGAAAAAGGGTAACTAAACCATATCCTTTTTCATTTTGTTAGCTTCCATTATCTCCACATGTTGTCTAGATTGTGTTAGCTTGTAATATGTGTTGCAAATTATTGAAAAATAGTGTTGTAGTATTATAATCTAAAATTTTCATTTCAATAATAAAGTTGAAAAAAATGTGAAATTAAAATATAACCTGTAATCGGATGGAACTGAATAAACATAAGAAGAGTTTTGTTGAGGCCTGAATGAACAGTTTCCTTAAGATAGATTCATCATCTCCTCGGTGCTTTGAGTAACATTGGACGTCGGTCTCCCATGATACAACAACAAACGATCACAACAGTAAGCACAACCGTAGTGATCAGTCGAACACAATCTTGCCTTTCTCTATCACCGGAAAGAACGAATTTGGAAGAAATTTCTAAGAGTTTTCCTATTCCAATGTTTGGGAATTATATCTAAGATTGAGCCTTAACTAACCTATTTATAGAGGATAGGAAATTAATCAAAAGGTTATGACCTTTTGATGAAGAGATTTGTTGAAAAGCAAATAGGTATAATTGAATTGATGTAATTTTATATCAAATAATAAGTCTGTTCACCAAGTGACATAACTTATTATTAAAAGACATCAATTTTATTCAATTATTTATTAATTTTTCCAACAATATGTACAAATTTTGCATCGCCCTTGATCACAACCATTTGTTTTCATGGTCTCTTCTGCCTGTGTTGCGAGTTCTCTACCACGAAAATATTCATAATGCTTTCGTTCTTCGATTTGATCAGTTCCTTCGTTCGATCGACATAAAAATTAGACGAATATATCGTCACGTCGTTGCTTCGGACCTGCTTCAGAGTTTTCTTTTCTCATCATCGCAACGAATTCACCGTGGTTGATCCTTCCATCCTCTGGAATAATTTTTCAAACAATCGTGGATCAATTTGCTTTGAAAATGGAACATGTCATATATGGTACTTATATGATTTTCTTACGTGGTTTGTATCTACTTCGGAGAGGATTTCCTTTATATCTCTGCCACCATGCATGCCATATTCACGTAGAGCTTGCTCTAGTTCTTCATGTTGGGAAATAAACGAGAACGACTAATTTCCCTATAACCAGATTAGTGAGAATGCGAAATAAAAGCAGAAAAATAATACCCGAAATTGATAACGGAGTTCAACCAATTTTGATTACGTCTTCGGACTGCTGCAGATCTTTTACTAGAGAGAAAATTTACAGGTGTTTACAAAATACTCACTACTCACAAGAAAACTCTCTAGTTTTGGGAGAAAGAAATGATTTGGGATTTTGGGATGATTTTGAAGCTAAATGAGCTAGATTATTTATAGTTGCAGCTTAAGGACTAATCTTATAAATATCTTAAAGTTCAGGGACTAATTGTAATTATCCAATTTTTATTTTCAACAAACAACTTTCGGTGTATTTAAAGCCACCGAAAGTTGCCCACCTTTCTTGACTATTTTCCAACAATCTCCCACTTGAAGACTGATTTTAATATGTCTTCACACCTTGATCACTACAGCAGTATTTCTGGACTTGTTACTCTAGCATGCCAACTGAATCTGAACACAACTTCAGTTTATTCGTGGTCACCGTCTTTGTCAACATGTCTGTCGGATTTTTAGCTCCACTAATCTGTTCAAGTTTTAAAATCCCATCTTCCAGAAGAGACCGGATAAAATGATATCTCAATTGTATATGCTTCATCCTAGAATGAAAAGACGGATTCTTTGCTAGATGGTTAGCACTTTGACTATCGCAATACAAGAAATTATTTTCTTGTTTCTTTCCTAACTCTTCCAAGAAACTTTGGAGCCAAACCATCTCCTTGCTGGCTTCCGTAATAGCGACATATTCTGCTTCAGTTGTGGAGAGAGCAACTATCTTCTGTAGTTGAGAAACCCAACTCACTGCAGTACCTTCTAGAGTATAGACATACCCTATAGTGCTCCTTCTGATGTCAACATTTTCGGCTAAGTCGGCATTTACTTAGCCTGTCAGTATCGTATCTCCACCTTTGAAACAAAGTGCTTTGTTTGTAATACCCCACATATATCTGAGGATCCATTTGACTGCTTCCAGTGTACCTTGCCCGGATTATTCATGTACCTGCAAACAGCTCCCACTGCATGAGCAATATCTGGTCTAGTACAAACCATGGCATACATCAGACTTCCAATTGCTGAGGTATATGTCACCTTCATCATCTGTGCACGTTCTTCCTCCGTCTTTGGTGACTGTTCTTTGGAATGTCTAAAATGAACACCTAAAGGTGTACTTACTGGTTTAGCATCTTTCATGTTGAACCTGGAGAGTACTTTGTTGATGTACTCAGTCTGTGATAACATCAAAGTCCCCGACTTTGTGTCTCTCTTGATCCTCATCCCAAGAATCTGCTTTGCAGCGCCCATATCTTTCATTGCAAACTGCTTCGACAATTTTTGCTTCAAGTTTATAATCTCTTGCATGTCTGAACCTACAACGAGCATGTCATCAACGTACAACAATAAAATAATGAAGTTGTTGTCGAACCTCTTGATGTAGCAACAATGATCTGCTTGGCATCTGGTAAATCCACTGCTACTCATGAAGTATCGAATTTCTTGTACCACTATCTAGGAGCTTGTTTTAAACCATACAAGCTCTTCTTCAACTTGCATACCAGGTTTTTCTTTTCTGCCTTTATGAAGTCTTATGACTGCCTCATATAGATTTCTTCCTCCAAATCACCATGAAGGAAAGCTGTCTTTACATCTAAATGCTCAAGATGTAAATTCTCTGCAGCTACAATTTGTAACACCAGTCTGATTGTAGACAGTTTTACGACTAGAGAGAAAATTTCATTGTAGTCAATATCTTCTTTCTACTGAAAACCTTTGACAACCAATCTTGCTTTGTAGCGTTTGCTCCCATCGTGCTCTTCTTTGATCCTGTAAATCCACTTGTTGTGGAGCGCTTTCTTGCCTGGTGGTAATTCAGTTAATTCCCACGTCTGATTTGACATAAGCGAGTCCATCTCATATTTCATGGAAGACTCCCACTTGACTGAATCCTTCACCTGTATTGCTTCATCATAGCACTCTGGTTCACCATTATCAGTCAGCAACAAGTAGTGCAAAGAAGGCGAATAATGTTGGGTTGGTTTAAGAATTCTGGAGGAGCGTCTTAGTTCTGGTGTGCGTGGTTCTTCTTGAACTGCTTCAGGATTGATCTGAACATCATTTCCAGAAATCTCCTCAAACTCAACAAATTCCTTTGTTTCAGCTTTGGCATTAGAGCTACTTGATTCTATGGATACACTATCTTTGTACATCACATTCTCATTGAAAATGACATCTCTGCTTCTGATGATCTTCCAATTTTCATAGTCCCAAAATCGGTAACTGAAATCATCACCACCATAACCAACAAAGACGCATTTGTTGGACTTAGCATCGAGTTTACTTCTTTCAGCAGAATTTATGTGTACATAAGAAATACAACCAAACACTCTTAAGTGTGAAAGATTTATTTCTTTCTTGCTCCAAGCTTCCTATGGTATTCCACCATCCAAGGGAACTGAGGGCCCACGGTTGATCAGGTAAGTTGCAGTATTGATAGCTTCAGCCCATAGCAATTTGGGAACTGAGAACTCTAGGTATTTTAATACATTGAGGTTGTGTACTAATGCTATCACCACATCTCACATAATTTGCATCAAAGTGTCACATATTTGTCCTGAAGAACCACATAGTTTTGTCCCGAATGACCACATAGTTTTGTCCCAAAGGACCACAAAGAACCCTCGACTCTTGGCATGTCAACTATACCTCTAATTCTCATACATAGACATTGGGCTTTAACTTTATCATCATTTTTCATTTCACTATTTAAAGTGTATCTTATTTTTCATAAGTACATTCATATATGGATCACTTTTACTTATATCACCTTCTCTGAACACATAAATTATTTTCATATAGAACATTTTTGTATAAGTATATTCATATATCACACGTTCATAATCATATACATATAACGATCAAAACATAGCTTTAGAAATATAACTTGAACAAAGAATTGTAAAATATTACATAAAATAAATAAAAAAGTTTTCGATCAAAAACTCTGAGGTTGGCTTATCGCAAGCCGTCCTCGAATCTAATATAAAAAAAATGAGTTGCACTTACCTTTGCCTTACGTAAATTCTAGCAAAATCTTTATCAATCATGATCGATAACTTATAACGTCGAATCGTCCGGAATTTGCCTTCGTTTAATGTCTACACAATAATACAATCGAGATGAATATCGAAGTTCATATTGCTATTAACCAATCATTAATAACTTAAGTTGAAAGAAACATCATTACAAGCACACTAGTATCGGTACCCCACCTAAAGTACCGATACTTCCCTTCTATGGCATCGATTCCCACTTCGGTACCGATACCATTTTGGTATTCTAGAATTTTATACTTGATAATAGTATCGATATCCTAATCTTGGTATCGATGCCCCCATTTCAGTATCGATACCTTCTTCAATCAGTATCGATATTGTTCCTCGAATTCAATTATTTTTTACCTTGAAGTATCGGTAATGTTCTTCTAGTACCGATACTCATACCCAGAATTTACGTATTTCAGTTTGAAAATTAGCCATAACTCACCCAAATCTCCCACTTTTATCCCTTTCATGCTTTTTAACTCGATTATTCTTATCAAAACCAACTTATATCACTTTAACACTCCTAACTATCCAAAGTCTCACTAAAATACTTGAGACTAAAAATCATACCATAATTTCAATCATGTTCTAAATCATTTCTAATACTTCTAACTTCTTAATTAAACCCTTGAATAGTCAATTTTATCAATATAAATCCAAAAACTAAACCATATCAACATATCCTTTAAAAATTCATTTTACAAATTTATCTATAATTCATCAATCTCTTAGTTTTACTCAATCATAAGCTTTCCTTAAGCTTATAAATCACCCAAATAACAAGAACCAACTTAAAAATTCAAGGAAAAACAACTTGAAATCAACTCACCTTTAAAATGGAGCTCACGACAACGAGTAAGAAGATAACAATGATTTCTAGATTTTTCTTTCTCTTCCACGTGTTTTATATCCCTTAAACTTAAATGTTTAAAGCCTTGCTTGAAGAAACTTAACAAGGATAATTTTAGTGACATCTTTGCAAGGGTAAGGCTTAAGAGAACTGAGTTGGAGCAGATTCAAATTTTTACTTTAAATGGGTAGAATTCTTTTGAAAAAGAATTAAATGTCCAAAATGAGTTAATTACCCCTGAGGATAATGAGCTCATGTTCCTTAAACAGAAAGAAAAGGTGAGATGGATTAAAGAAGGAGACAAATGCTCCAAACTCTTTCACACTGCTATTACCTCTAAATTCAAAAGAGATATCATTAGGGTTCTTATTAACAATAAGGGTAAAAGACTTGAGACCTATGATGATATGGTCAATGAGATCATTGATTACTTCAAGAATCAATTAGGAACTTCTTATCCTAATGTTCTTCCTACTGATTCTGCTTTCTTGAAAAATCTACTTCAGTTTTCTATGCCTACTGAGACTGCTTCTGAGCTTACTAAAACAGTTTATGCTGAAGAGATAAAAGAAGATTTGTTTAGTCAATGTAATGACAAAGCTCTAGAATCTGATGGATTCACACCTATGTTCTTCAAATTCTCTTGGTCTGTGGTAGGGGAGAATGTTATCAATGCTGTCATTTTCTTCTTTCAAGAGGATAATATTCCCCTTGCTTTCAACTCCACCATTTTAGCCTTGATTCCTAAAATTCAAAACCCCAGCAAAGTTAAAGATTACAGACCCATTTCTTATTGCTCAGTGGTATACAAAATTATCACTAAAATTCTTGTTAAAAGACTTTCTTTGGTGCTGCCTGATCTTATTACTCTTAACCAAACTGCATATGTGAAAGGTAGATCTATAATTGACAACACTCTTCTTGCTCAAGAATTGGTGAAAGGTTATGGTAGGAAAAATATTTCTCCAATTGCTGCTATTAAAATTGACTTACAAAAAGCCTTTGATTCTCTCAATTGGGATTTCATTTCTTCTACTCTCTTTGCCATAGGGCTGCTAGCCACCTTAATAGGATGGATTGAAGCTTGTTAAAGAGAAGCTAGATATTCCATATCCTTTAATGGATCTCTAATAGGATTTTTTAAAGGTCAGAGAGGTATTAGGCAAGGAGACCCATTATCTCATATTCTTTTTGTTCTGGCTATGAACATTCTCTCTAAAATCCTCAACCTTGCTGCTGACAGAGGCATTTTTGGATATCATCCAAAATACAAAAAGTTAGGTATCACTCATCTCTCCTTTGCTAATGATCTTTTGATATTTTGTAAAGGAAACCTTGAGTCTATTGTTGGTGTTACCAGTGTTCTTAACCACTTTTATACCTTGTCTGGTCTTAATCTTAATGTCAACAAGATTGAATTCTATGCTACTGGAATATCTGTTGGAACTCTTGAATCTATCAAATCTATCACTGGTTTTAAACAAGGATTTCTGCCAGTTAGATATCTTGGTATTCCTCTGGTCACTAGAAAACTTACTGAAACATATTGTATTCCTCTTTTTGACAATTTCAAAGCTAAACTTCAACATTGGTCTGGTAAATTATTAAGCTATGTTGGACGTCTTGAGCCTATTAAAACTGTCTTATATAGTGTTGTTAGTTTCTGGTTTTAGCAGTTCATCCTTCCCCAGAAGGTTATCAATAGTCTTGAACAGCTATGCTCTGGTTTCCTTTGGAAAGGATCTGATAAAGCTGCCAAAGGTGCCAGGATCAGCTGTAACAAATTATGCTACCCCAAATCTGAAGGAGGCCTTGGTTTGAAGGATCTTAACTCATGGAATAAGGCTTATATGATTCAACTCATCCGAAAACTTCTTGCATGAAATGGTTCTCTGTGGGTTACTTGGATTCACTGTTATGTTATTAAAAAGAGTGAATTAAGTAACATCAATGTTAGTTCTTTATTTAGCTGGAGCATTAGAAAACTTCTTAAATTAAGAATAGAGGCCCTTCCAATTATCTCTACTAGAATTACTAAAACCACTGCTATATGGGAAGAATTAAGGGAGCATAGAGAAAAGGTTTCATGCAGAAAATGCTCTGATTTCCTCTTCACATTCCCAAACAAAGTATGATTTCTTGGATGATAATTCTTGATCGTCTTCCTACTCGTGATATACTTTTCAGAATGGGAATTTCTACTGACCAGCTCTGTATCCTCTACAATGAGGAACCCGAATCCAGAAACCACTTGTTTTTTTACTGTGCCTAAGCTTCTTCTATCTGGAACTCTATCATGATTCTTACCAACTTGCGAGATTCTCACAGGACATGGAATTCAAGGATTGAATGTGCTGCTAAAAATGGAAGGGAAAATCCTTACTTTCCATTATCCTAATAATTGATTGGAACGCTTTTAACTACTTGATTTGGGAGGAAAGAAACAGAAGGATTTTCAAAGGTGGATCAAGAACAACGAATCAAATTCTTAATTCTGTCAAGGAATTTGTTCGCATTCAGCTTAGTGATAAAGATATTAATAGAATAGATCATGTAAATTCTAATCTTTGTAACCTTTGGGGTATTGACTAATCATTTTTGTTGTTGTAAATAGGGGTTAATACTCCCTCTTGGGATGACTGTTATTTGTTGAACTTTCTTTTGTAGATAATAAAATCTTAATTATCCAAAAAAAAAATCCTTCTTTGAAAAGATCATAATGCCTTTCCAATAATCTAACTTTAATATCAAGTCCTAAATAAATCATTGAACTTTTCAATTAAACCACTAAATTTTAAATTCTTACATTTTGGTCACTGACCTGATATTTGGGGTGTTACAGTTTCCTTTTGGCAATGGTCTTGCAAGCGAATTGTTCTCCAGTTTGCCAGTGAGTACATAAATGAGTGACCCCAAACTATCCCCTACCCAATTCTTTCCCGACGTTGTAAGTGGCTTTAACGTCTTCCATAGGTCGACCTAACACATGCCGATCGAGGTAGAAGTGGAATGCTTGGAGGAGACTCCACCTGTGGATAAAGCTGAATTCCTCGGTGACAAATTCCCCACCCGAGAACTGCCATGATTGTTGTTGACGTTCTCCATCGTGGTGTCTCCCTTTTTGTCGTCGCCATCGCTGGGACTGCAATGAGAGCAACAATTCCCTATTGTTATAAGGGAGATGAAGGGTCAAGTGACGCTGGCCGCAGATGGTTTGGTTGCCTATTGGTGTGTCATGTACTAGATCGGCAATGGGTGTGGAAGTTGATTCAGATATTACTGGATTTTGTGTGGAATCTGTTGGTTCCTCGTATGTGGCATCAGTTGAGTCTTTAGAATTTGCTTGCTCTTGTCGTTTCTCTCTTTTATCTCGAAGCATTCGATCGTGAATTTGTTTAGCTCGTGCTTCGATTTCTGGATCAAATTCTTCTAATGTGCTCGGATTCTGCCTAGTCATAAATCAAATACAAGAAAATTAAATAAGTGCTTTGTCATAGTCCTCAACAACGACGCCAATTTGACAACATGTCATTTTCACTGTCAAATAATATTTAGCCTTAGTATCAACAAAAGAATATAAAAGATAGTATAGACAGTGTAAAGGATCGATCTGCAAGAACTACGAAGTTGATGAATTTCTCGCTTTTGATCTTGATTCAACCGTGTTTTGTAGAGAAGAATAAGCAAGGGGGTTTTGAAAGTTAAGGTAAAAGTAAGTTTTCAAAGTAAAATAAAGAAAATAAACTATGCAAATTAAAATGAAAATTCAATTGGTAAAAGTCAACCTTGAGCTAAAAATTATGCCTAATTTTAAATCGATCCTTGAATAGGATTTTGCCTGAAGACTCGCGTCGGTTACGGTTTACAGGGCTCAACCCCTGTAACTTGTTTTTCTCTCAAATTAATCAAGCATCTAAAATCAATTTTTGGATCTCAACTATTTATGAATTAATCGCGACAATCACTTACCAATTCAACACCTTTAAATTCTAGAAAAACCCGACTTGGATTGTACTGTCTCAATTGAGAATCTAACTCGATTTTAGTTTCCCTTAGCAGACCCCCTCTAAGTGTGTTCACAAGAAGTCGAGCATGTCACAGGTCGTTCCTTCCTCCTTACTATTAATCGAAACCAAAATTCAATTCCAACGTGCACTTTTTGAAATGAAATCGCTTTGATTATAAAATGATGGTCAATTACCAATCATTGATTTCTGAAAACTAAAAATGTAACCCTTAAGGGTATAATGTGCTTTTCGATTCTCACTATTTAGAATCGATTCATTGCTTTAGCCTTTGGCTATGGAAAACTTAATTAAGCGTGATTGAGTTCATGCTTAGCATTTTAAAAGAAAGTAAATTAAGAACTTGAAAAGAAAATAAAATGAAAGAAGAGTTTTTATAAAACTTAAAGAAAGAAAGTAAATTAAAAATTGTCATGCATTGAAAATGAACGAAAATGGCCAAGTTAGCAACTTAAAATAGCCAATCAATGAGTAATTAACCACAAAATAATACATAATTTAAGCACTAATCAAATTCCCCCTCACTTATTCAATGCTTGTCCTCAATCATTTCTCAGTTATCTTGACAAAAATCTAAGTTATCAACTCCAATTTCGTAGAATTTCCAAGATTTCTAAGCATGCTAAATCAAGCAAATGTTGAAATTCAAGATCAATCAAGCAAGACACAATCAATTAAGTGTAAATCAACAATGACATTTCAATCATTCACCAATTTCAAAGAATATAAGACTTAGTTCCTCACATGAGTTCACTCATTTCGCTCAAGTGTTTCGGGTGAAAGAATCACCCAAGCCTAAATCAATCAACACATTACCATAAGCTTGTAACTAAATCTAATATCCACTACCTAATATGAAAATAATGCAATAATCAATAGGTTTTCAAAATGAGTTGTAACGGGGCTAAGGTTCGAGTAGGATAAAGGTCGAAAATGGGGTTTCAAAAATTCAAGACAATGAGAAAATAATTCCAAAGATTTATTCAAAGGGAAGAAAAAGATTAAAGAAAGGAGAAACAAGAAATCCAACAAAGCTTTATTCACTCTCTTTTTTCGAATGTTTCTTTCTTCTTCTTCTTCTTTTTTGCTACTTTTTTGTTGTTCGAATCTTCTTCTTCTTTTTCTGCACTGCATTTTCTTCTCATTCGAATCAAAATTATAATGTTTTGAATTTTTCTGCACTAAATTTCTAAACTGTTCGAACCAAACTGCACTATTTTTTTTGCTGTTGGAACAGTGTAATTTTTATGGACTGTTTTATTCGATTATGCACTGTTATGAACATTTTTTCTGGGTTTTTTTTCGAAATAACCTCACCCTTGTCCTGAAAAATGGTAATAAAAAGAGGGAAATCCCAATGTGTTTGAAAGAAAAATATTTTTATAACAATTATTTTTGTTATATTTATGATATAATTCAGTGTGTTTGAAAGGAAAATAAATAGATTTTTGAAAAGCAAGGTTGCCTCGGTAGCCTAGTGCGACACTTTAGGCCCAATCAGATTTAGGGTGTTACACCTCTGGTTTTGTTGATTTTAGGGGTTTTGTTTGTGGGGTTAAGTTGTTTGTGTTGTTTGTAAAGTTTATTTGAACTATGGTTTTTCTTTTGGATGAATAAATAAGATTTATCTAACAAAAATTGATATGAGTTAAGTGACTAATTATATTATAAAGTTATAAGGTATTATAAAAGTGTAGATATTATTAAAGTTGTATATATAATTTGATGATAAACAAAGTTATAAGTACATACAATAATTGATTCTTAAATCAATTATATAAAGAGATTATGATTCCCAAGAAATATACTAGTTCGTATTTTCTTTTATCACGTTAGAGAGTTTATACTCAAGATAATTATATCTTCTTGGAAGATCATAACCAAAAAAAATTTTAAGAATTTTATCATATCAATTAATTCATGTACACTTTTGCATCTAATTTTTTATTCTTAATGATTTAACATGATTTGATCCTGATTAATTTTTCATATTTAGTATAACTTGATTCTAACATTATTATTATTATTATTATTATTATTATTATTATTATTATTATTTAAAAGTAAATGAAGAAAGTTTTGAGTTTATATTAATTAGCACTAAGCTATTCACATTACGGCCACTGCCATTTTAAATTTATTGGAGTTTAAATTGCTTCTTAATTAGATTATCGTCAAACAAAAAAAGGGTTGATTTTTAAGGCTAAACGGATTTTGCTCATATAGATTCCACAAACTTTTGCTTTTAATATCCACACAAAAATGTATATATATTGCCCTTTTAACCATTGTCTTCCTGTATCCATCCCCATACCTATTCATCTGCTGATAAACAAAAAAGGAAAGAAAAAAGAGAGAGAATTTGATGAAGAAGACCAAATCGATCAACTAAGGTCTTCTCCATCAAATTTCTTAATCTCAAGTTTTATGTTCTGTTTTTGTGTCTTTTCTTCCAATCCAAACTAACCCAGATTTTGTTTTCACCTTATTATCTTCAAAAGCAAAAAGGAAAAGATTCTGTTTTGTTTGTAAGATAAAGAAATAAAAGTGTTTTTATCTAAAGATTGTATGGATATGGTTGGTTGCATCTAGACTTATTATTATCATCTTCAAAAAAAAAATTCTTTTTGGTGGATAAAATTTTCCAGGTGTCAGAAATAACTCGGATCTCAGTAGCCCCACCACCATATTTCATTTCACTTTGTTTCTGGGTTCATCCATTAAGATCTCCAAGTTGTCTGCTCGGTTGAGTTGTTTTTCTTTTAAAATATTAAAAACGGAGTTTTTTTTTATTGGTTAGTAGGTAACTTTTCTGTTTGGAAGGGTTTTGTGGGCTTCGATTTTAACCAATATAAACCGTTCTTTTTGTGATATTTTAAATCGAAGTTGGGGTCTTGTTATATTGATGATCTCACTTTGGTTTTTAATTAGAAAGAAGATGAGATAAATGAGGAGGATAGATAATTGGGTTCTCTTCCATTGATTTTTTTGCCTTATATTATTGAATTTGGACCTATAAGAGAATTCAGGTCTTCACCTCTTTTTTCTTTCCTTTTTGTATTTATTGGAATGTTACTTTACTTGTTCCTCACTTGTTTCCCCTTCTTCTTTTTTAAGTTGAAACCACTTCCACCGTGGCCAACTGAGTTGAAATTTTCCCTTGCTTCCATTCCCAAGTTGATCAAAAACAGTCTTGGTATTACATATTTCACCTCCCTCCCTTCCAAAATGTCTCTAAAAAAGATGTCTTTCAGTTCAAAAGTTGACAGCTTTGAGGCGGTTGAAGGAGGAGGAGGTGGTGGTGGTGCCATCTCGGTTCTGGACTTACCAGATTTGGCCTTGGAATGCATCATCGAAAGGCTGCCGCCCGCTAGTCTTTGTAACATGGCTGATGTTTGCAGCTCTTTGAGGAGTATGTGTACGGCCGATCATTTCTGGGAAAAACATATGAGGAACAAATGGGGTAGAATCATTGGCCCTGCTGCTTATAGAGAGTGGCAATGGCATGTTGCTTTGAGAAAGGATTCGAGACATTTGAAACAAGGGAGGCCAAAAGGTTTGATGAGGATTTTGTCCATGGTTAGACCATCTTGGTGGTTTAAACCAAAGGTTGATGATGATTGTCGTAGGCAGAGTTCTTTGCCTGATGATTCAATCATGTCTTGGTTTCTTACTCTTGAGAGTGGCGAATTCTGGTTCCCTGCTCAGGTCTATAACCGTGAGGTATTTGATTCTCTTCACCTTCAATCAAATTCCTCACTTGTGTTTGTGATAATTCCGACTTGATTATAAGATTCTTTGTTGTGTAGAATGGCAATGTTGGGTTTATGTTGTCATGCTATGACGCTGAACTCAGCTATGATCAACGTACCGACACGTTCCAAGCAAGGTAATTTGGATTATGGACATACTTTTTATGGTGATTTTTGAAACTTAACTTAGTCTGGTGGATTGATATTAGATTTGGTTTGATGCTTTTAGGTACCCCCCACATGGAAGGAGGGCCGTGGCCATCGAGAATAACGTGCCATGGGAACGGCTGAGAGCACCACCGATCGATGCTTCACCACACAATCTTCACATTTCTGATTGTTTGAACGAGCTACGCCCCGGTGATCACATCGAGATTCAGTGGAGAAGAAACAAAGAATTCCCATATGGTTGGTGGTATGGTGTAGTTGGTCACTTGGAATCGTGTGACCGGAACGAAAATTACTGCCGGTGTCATCAGAGTGGTAAGTTTGATCTCATCTTTTCTTTTCTCAAATGCACTCTCTGATATTCCCATAGACTTACCTAGAAAATTAGAATCTAACTTCACTTTGGTACTATTGCAAGCATTACATGTTATCTGTCTTTTAAGCTATTCCAAGGGACACATCTTCTGCCTTTAAGAGTAGAAACATCTTCTCGTGTTGAAGAAATTATCTGTTCGTGTTTGTGTTTGTGTTTGTGAGTTACAAACATTCTTGTAATCTACGTTACGTGTTGGTATCTAACATGAATATGGTCAAATCTTGTTCATAGATTTGGCAAACCACTATCCTCGTTATTCGATCGTGTATGTTTGAACGTGTCGAATACTGATATGGAGAAAGAGTCCATGAAATATAGCAATTCATAAAGTTAACTTTCATGGAGGACATCCGGTTTTGGATAGGCCATTTTCAGGAACCTCATCTCTCTAATACATGGTCCCCAAGTTGTGCTGTTGGGTTGGTCACGAAACACGAGTCGTCGTCATTATGTCGTAAATTCAACCGGCATTGCGATAACGTGTGTCTCGACAGAATATTTATGGCCAACCACGCTAAAAGGACACAATGTCTCTAGTGGGGCACTGTTTGCTTTACGTATCTGGAATCTTTTAGTCTTGTGGGGCTGCAATGGTTGTTTCACACTTCAAAATTCACATTCGTGTTCTGCCTTTTGTCACACCAGTGCAAACTACATAAAGCATAAAAGAAATAAAAAGTGGTCTTTTTATTGTAATCATTTGCATCTTAAGAAACCAAATAGATTTCCATCATAATTGAAGGATTGAGTGATTATTGCCCGTTTTTTAACATCATAGTGTTGTTAAACAGATACGGTGGCGTTAGAGTTCAATCAGTACGCCCCTGGCTCAAGGTGGCGACACTCGATGATCAACCGGAAAGAACATCGGGAGGAGGGAAACGAGGCAGATGGATTTTATGGCGGAATCCGTAAACTTAGCAGCGTCGAGGAGATATCGGCATGGAAGCGGCTTTGGCCATCCGAAATCCTGCAATAGACATGCGAATACAACAAAATGCATGCACCAAGATTTCAATACAGATATTGGTCCATTTCCCTTCCAACTGTGCAAAATGTATAGGAATTTCTGATCTATGAATGGTGCTCCTGGAAACCGAAATTCGAGTTCAAAGTGGCATGGAAGTGAAGCAAATTTACCTGCCACATCCCAGGTTATGTGAAGAATTTGGTAAAGAAAGCATTCAGAAGGACATTGATTGTTGATGGGGATAGAGAATGGCAACTTTATTAAACATGGAATATTATATGTTGTAGAGCTCAGACATTTTACATTATTTTTCGCCTTTAATGATATAGCTGATATTTCATTTCACCCTGAGAAGCAACTCTTCTCTTTCTTTTATTTTTCCTAATATTTTTTCTTTAAAAAAATACCGTTCGAGGATAAAAAGAATGATTAGACTATGAATTAACTAATTTAATATCAAGATTTAACATAAGGAAAAATATTCCATAGATTGTCAATAGGGTTAAATAAACTTCGCGAATGCACAAATCAAGTGATCTTAGTGGTTAAGGGACTTCTTGTTATCTTTTGAGTCATTGGCTTCAGCAACCATAAATATTAGGGATGTGTGTGTTCATTGTCAAATAAACATCCTATAATGAGAGACCATTTATGTACTTTACCATAAAATTAAAGGGATGACACGTAATATAAAAGGGTTAGAGTTTATGGCTTATTGTTTTGGCCTATTTTTTATTTGAAATGTATAGTTAGAGGACTATTTTATAATTTTTGATAGTTGGTGAACTCAATAAAATATCCTATAGTTGGAGGATCATTTGTATACTTTATCATATAATTAAAGGGATGACATGTAATATAAAAGGGTTAGTTCATGGCTTATTTTTTATATGAAAGGTTATAAAGTAATAATTTAATAAAGGGTAAACTACATATTTAGTCATTCATCTATATTCACAATTCCGTTTTGATCATCAACTGTTTTTATTTGGAATCATACATGATGTTAAGTTTTTATTCCGTTTTAGTCACTCACAGTTAAAAAATAAACACAACTACTGATATAACAAAATCTTTTATTTTTTTCAACGATGATGTGGTATTACCTTATGGTGATACATCAATACTACCATTAATTTTTTAACGGAAGGTAATCAAAATATAATATTAGATATGATTTTTGAAAAAGATAGTTGAGTGACCAAAATTGAACTGCGAGAATAAGTGGCTGCCTAAATATATCATTTACCGTTTGATTAGGTTTGGCCCAAATACTTATGGGCGGGGTAACAATAACCCAAATTCGAGCCCAACATTTCCTGGAAGGTTCTGCAAAATATGGAAGAGGGGCCCATCCAAATTCAGTTTGAGAAGCTCAACCAGCTAAACTTAATCACACTTTTCCCGTTATTTTACATTTTCCGGAGCAAACTCACGAATTTTGAATCCGAGTACGACTTGTTTTCGACATTCTTAAAGTAAATAAGCGTTCAGATCGCGGTGATGGCGAGTGCTGATGTGGAAGCGGTGGATTTCGAGCCGGAGGAAGACGATCTTATGGACGAGGACGCCGCCGGCGACGCCTCCCCTCAAGCGGCAATGCCGAAGCTCAAGTCTGCCATCACTGGCGGTGCTTCCACCTCTCTTTCAGGTCCTAAGAAGACTAAGGGCCGTGGATTTCGCGACGAAGATGCCAACCGCCAGTCCCGTCTCGCCTCCCGCGACTTCGAGTCCCTTGGCACTGATGATGGGCCCGGTCCCCAGAGATGTTAGTCCTTCCTATAAACCCTAATTTTCATTTTTTGTCTTCCTCTCGTCGTTTGTTTATATTTTTTTCCTTTTGTTTTATCTAGGGTTTTATTTTATATGTGGCTTAGATGACAAGATAATTACGAAATTGACATGAACAATTAACAGTGTTGTTAGAATAAGTTTGGTTGAAATGAGCTGGGAGATTTGGTAGTTTGAGTAGGCTAATATTAAAAATATTTAGAACATAGTGTTAATTTGTCTTCTGTTTTTTATTTGGTAACAGTTGCTCATAAGTAAATTGTTCAAAAAACTAATCATATTGAATAAATTTCCCTGATAAGATATCTTAATATTTGGTTCATTTAACAGGTTATTCATGAATTATATGTCAAAATGAATTATACGTCAAAGAGTTGTTTTGCAGGTCTTTGGAACATCTTAACCTTTTAAAGTCTAGTTCCTAAAAGCAACCTCCTCAACTTCGTTAATGTGGATATTTTTCTCCCATAGTATACTTTGTAGGAACCCTTCATTAAGAACTGTTTTATTACCCTTCTCATTAGAAATTACAAGTGTAGGGGCATAATATGTTCAGGTCATTTATGAGATTTGATCAAATTTAGTGGCAGAGGCTTCATGAATTTCTTCATCTGCGTTGTATACGCTTCGCGCCAACTCTAGCATGTAATTTTCATTTAGGTTTTAGACCTGTTTCTTTGTGCAGTTACCTGTTAGATGGGGGTAGTTAGTATTTATGAAGTGGAAAGTATTAAGAATTAAAAGAAATCCCTGAAATTAGTTTTTTTCCTGCTCTTATAAAACTAGTTTTCTAGATCTGTGTGATGAACATGACCCAAAATTCAATAATATATATATAAGTTTTCTCTTGATTTCAGAGGATATTTCATTGCCATTATGTCTATATTTTCTTGGCTGATTCTTGAGGTTCACTTTGGTCCATTATCAAAAGAACGGGATGGGGGTTGGTGCTGTTTTCCTGTCGTCAGAATTTTGTTGGAACATCATGTGGAGGATATTTGAAATTCCTTTCCGTCAAGGACAATAAGTCCAATGAAAGAAAAGGAAAAAGATTCTAGTTACATTGTTGACCAAGTTTAATTATGTATGTTCTTCTTCAAGCACTGCTATTACTTGTTTGGCCATGTTTCAACCACTGATTGAGTGCGTTAAATGTATTATATTGTACTGAACCTAACCTTCAGTGTGTCGAGCTAATTTTCCTACACAATGTCAATGTAACTCGTAGAGTACGGTAGATAAAAGCAATTGTGTCCAAGAACAAAATAAGATTTTCCTATATGTTTGTGAACTCTTTTCTCATTAGTACTTCTTGTTAATAAATGTGCAGCTATTGAAGGATGGATTATTTTGGTCAGTGGTGTACATGAGGAAGCCCAAGAGGATGATTTGCACAATGCATTTGGTGAATTTGGTGAGATCAAGAATTTGCATTTAAATCTTGATCGTCGCACTGGATTTGTAAAGGTAGGTAACTTAGTAAATTGGTGTATCTCACTTTATGACCATCAGACCATTGCATAAGTGTATTATGTTCTGTTTTGTTGGAGTACTTCACATTTGCATGTTTTATTTTTATTTTTTTATGTATAGTATGTGTATTGGAAATATTTTAGCTATCTCTTTCTGCTTGTTTAACATTTTTATTTTGCGTGTTTATTATATGTATTAGAGAATGTGGATTCAATTATATTATGATATCTCAAGCAGTTCACTGTTTCTACCATTTATGTAGTTCCTAAACATTTGTTTGACAAACAGCGTTGATTGAAGATGAGAAGACAAAGGACAAATCATTTATTTTATACCTTCTTTGACAGTATTTCCTTAGGATTGCATATTTGTGATCTGGTAAAATTATAAGAGTGTTTCCCCATTATAGGGATATGCACTGATTGAATATGAAAAGTTTGAAGAAGCAAAGAATGCCATATCCACAATGGATGGAGCAGAACTTCTTACACAATCCATCAATGTTGATTGGGCCTTCAGCAATGGACCTAGTACTGGAGCCTTCAAAAGAAAAAATATGAGGTTTGCTCTATTTATATGCTCTTGGGTTTTGATTGAGATCTGTTAATTCTATCAGTTGTAAGTGGTGAAAGAATGATCTATTCATGCAAGATGACTCTACTCAAGAGCATTTATTACTTGAACTGAAGCAATCCAAATTTGAATGTCTTGGGCCTTGGATGAACCTGTAAAGGTTGAAACTTGAGACAACCTCAACCTAGCCTAAATGGACCTGATTGCCTGATGCCAACCTTGCCCGAATCTCACAATTGAGCTTTAAGCGTAACCTTCTTTAAAAGCTAACCTTATTCGATAGTCATGCCAATTTTATGAAGAAAAAAAAATGTATGCTTGATGGTGTTTTTTTCCCGAACATGTTTACAACTACTTTTTTTTTTATGTTTCACAAAGTGATCCTACACAAACTATAAGTTATTGCGAATTTGGTTGTAATCTGGTAGATATATTGTGGGGAAATTGAAACTTTTAGCTGGTTGGCATCTGTTATCGTCTTTTCTAAAGTTGAAAGGTAGCGGAATACTTGAATCTAACAATACACTTCATACCTTGTAACTTTTGCAGATCTGGACGGACACATCGGTCCAGGAGTCCTAGGAGAAGATACTAACTTGTCCTTTATTATGAGGGTGTGGATTTAAAACTAGAGATTTCGAGATATGGTGCTTAAAGTTCCACTGAAATTTATGGGGTCTGCATTTGCTCATCCTGTTTCTTCCATAGCGTCTCAAGTGGACTGGCGGTGATTTGTTTTCTAGTGCGGCTTGCATTTGACAACTTGGGATATTGCATTGTTCTTGAAATTCGTAAGATGCTTTTTTATTTTCAAGATACTGTTGTTGACTCATCTTTTCTCTTGGCACTTTTTCTCGTATTATGGTATGGTTGTGCTTATTGTTTCTTAGTCATGGCATATTTAGATGATTACCTCACATGAAAGAATAATTAAATATGACAGAATGTAATATAACATGAATGCGTTCTAAATTTATAAATCGATATATTATTTAATATTAATTAAGTGATAATGAATGTAAAATAACAAGTTCAATTCAGTACGAATGCAAAGTTTATTTCAGTATTATTATGACTTTATCTAATTAAATTATTTCTCTGATTGATATAACTTTTATTGTTATATGATATTTAGCTATAGATTAAAATATTACTTCTTTAATTTAGTAATATAATGAATTACAAACTGGGATGGACCAGGGTTACAATATATTTTAAATTTTTTTCTATGTATTTCCTATTGAAAATTTGTGTTGTCTCCTAGAATTTTAGTTCGTCATGTAATTTTAGTTCGCCTCCCTTATGTTTAATTTTGTTTCTCAAGATAAAATCTTGTGTCCGTCCTTGATTAAAAATAATGTTTTTATCGGTTTAAAAAATTCTTAAAATTCACATTTTATATATATTATAGATTATAGATATATGTAAAAATGTATATATGTGCGTGTATAGGTATGGATATAAAATAGCATGAACCAAGTGATTTCTGTGATGAGTCATCGTTATTCTTTGAGGTATCGGATTCGAGCATCATATATATATATATATATATAAGGGGTGTTTAAGTGTTTAATATCAAATGGTTGAATTTTTTTTATTGGATATTATCTTGTATCCATTCCAAATTAGTAAAATGATAAAGGATATATAACATGATAAAGGATATAAAATAGTTGGAAGCCGAGAATTGATTCAATCCCTTTTACTAGGGTCGGAAGCAAAGCACGAGAAAAAAAATTAAAGCTTAATCACTTTAGTTGGAAGTATTGTATTGATTCCGTCACCTTTCTCGTACATATAAATTGGATTTTAAAATTCTCTCGAGACACAATTTGGCTGATTAATTCATTGTATGATAACTTGAAGAGGGTTCTTTTCGGCTCACCGTTTGAGATCTATAGGGGAGACGGTATATCAACCCTACAGGCAAGTCCAAGTTACCACTAAAACAAAACTATTTAGGGGTTTCTTGTGTTCTGATAGAATCACTCATTATTTATGGTTGGGAAGTAAAATATAAAATATTTAGATATATAATTTACTTATTATTTGTATTTAATCAGAACAAAGGGAGGCAAGGCAACCCAACACTACCATGAGTGTAGTTACAGTAATAAGGAAATTATGGGATGCCAGAGTTATGCTTCTTCTCAGTCTCTTTCTACAAGCTGTTCTCTTTATACTCGTCAACCGTAGGAAACACACAGTCAAACCTTGGTTCGGAATTCTTCTCTAGCTAGCCTACCTAAGCGCCGACTGGGTGGCCACCGCCGCACTAGGGAAGCTCTCTTCTTATTGCGCGTATGAATCTTATGTGAACAACACCTTAAGAGGGTGGTGAGCTTCACTGCTGCTTCTGCACCTTGGTGGTCCTGACACCATCACCGCCTATTCCATGGAAGATAATCTCCTTTGGAGGAGACACCTTCTTGGTTTAATCATCCAAGCAGCACTAGCAGTTTATGTCATTGTTCTGTCGTGGACTAGTTCTTGGCTCGCACTCTTGAATTTAATGCTCTTTTTAGTCGGTGTTGTCAAAATATTTGGAGAGGACTTGGTGTCTTTATTCAGCTAGCAGCAAAGATTCAGGACGAAAAGCGCCCTTATTTGATGGCAAAATCCTTGATAACATCGGAGGGAGTCAAGTGGATGAAGAGAAAGTGGTTTTGGGTTACCAATGGTTTGGATTAAGTAGATAAGATAAGGGAAATCACTTCTCTACTACTGGAAGTTTGAAATCATTGATGGCGAAGATTGCAGAACATATTTCCCATCAAACTTATTTTGAATTTAAAAGTTTGGAGTTGATGGTGAAGAAGAGTCAATCTCGTGGTGTGTTTGACATTGTGGAAATCGAATCCGGCTTCATGTTCGACATGCTGTACACCAAATCAGCCGTCGTTTAAACCAAGGTGGGATGTTTTTTACGTTTAATCAACTTCTGTTCTCCTCATTCGTCTTGGTTTTCTTTTTGCATAACTTCAGTACAGGAAACTCATTCTGCAATACTGGTCAAGAACGGATATCTACATTACTGGAATCTTACCGGCTGTAGCTGTTGCTTTTGAGTTCTATGGCTTGTTTTTAATTCTTTCTTCGGATTGGTTTGTGGTCCTAGGAATAAAGTACAGTTTGTTCCGAGAAATGATCGTCAAATGATCATTGTTATAGCATAAGGAAAAGGAAAGATGGTCAAATTGTATGGGACAATTCAATCTTTTAACATATTGCAGGAGCTTCAGAAAAAGTACCAAAATCCTGGGAATGATTGGTATCGATGAACTGATGAACTGGTTAGCAGATCACCAGTTGGCTGTGTGTTTGAGATTGCTTCATTCGAGTTGGGGTTCATGTTTGACATGATTTACACCAAGTCAGCCATCGTCTACACCAAGGTGGGATGCATTTTACGCTTAATCGGCTTTTGTTGCTCCTCATTTGTCTTGGTCTTCTTTTTGAAAAGCTTCAGTCAAGGAAAGTTGCCCAAGCAAAACTGGTCGAGTATAGACATTTGCATCACTGGAATCTTGCTGGTAGGAGCTATTGCTTTAGAACTTTATAGACTACTTGCAATTCTCAGTTCAGACTGGTCTGTGGTCTTGAAAATGAAGTACAACAAGAGCCGTTTGCTACGAGGAATCTTCCGGTGGTCATCGGAAAAGCAGCAGAAGAAGAAAAGGCGGTTAGATTGTATGGGACAATTTAATCTTGTAAGATATTGCACGAGGAAAAGGTCAGATTTTTTTAAGCGCAGTTACAATGACAAGTCAACTCTAGAGGTGGACGAAATTAATCTGAACTTCGCCAAATTAACAGATGATCAAATGGAAGGTTTAGAGGCTGCTTTTTCGGAAAAGGAAGTGTGGGAGGCTATCTTCTATTCGGACAGCGCGAAGGCACCTGGTCTGGATGGATTTACTATGGAATTTTTTAAAAAATTCTGGCCTCTAATGAAGGAGAATATTATGAAATTTGTTCAAGATTTCCACAAAGGTAGGCAATGGGGAATGGGGTTAATCATTCTTTCATTTCTCTAATCCCCAAAAAACTGAATCCAGAGGTAATTGAAGATTTTAGACCCATAAGTCTTGTTAGCAGCATTTATAAAATAATTTCTAAAGTGCTTTCGAAAAGGCTAGTTTCAGTTATTAATGACATTGTTAGCCCATCGCAATTTGCCTTCATTCCGGGAAGACAATTGCTTGATTGTGCTCTTTTGGCTAATGAAGGCATTGAGTATTGGAGGAAAAGGGGGAGACGTGGAGTAGTCTTCAAAGTTGATTTCCGAAGGGCATATGATTCAGTTGAATGACCAATTTTACTGAGATTAATGAAGGTTATGGGCTTTGGGGATAAATGGATTTCTTGGATTGATCGTTGCATTTCTACAGCCTCTATCTCGGTGTTAGTGAATGGATATCCTACGAAGGAATTTCACATTTCTAAAGGGTTGAGACAAGGATGCAGTCTGTCCCCTCTTCTGTTCAATTTAGTTGGGGAACTTTTAAACCTAATGTTGATCAAGGCTGTAGATTTAGGCCTTTTCCAAGGGTTCAGAATCGGTAGGGATGGTAATTCCTTCCATTTGACCCATCTACAGTTTGCAGATGATCTAATTTTATTCTGCAGTGATTCACCGATGCAGATCTTGAATATTAGGAGAGTTTTGAGGGTTTTCAGTGTTATGTCGGGGCTGCATTTAAAATTGTCAAAGAGCACTTTGTATGGTGTCAATGTAGGGGTTGATAGGATTAAGGACTGGGCGAAGGAAGCGGGTTGTGGAGTGGGGTCTTTTCCGATGACGTACCTCGGTTTACCGATTGGTTCAAGTAGGAATTCTATAGGTTTGTGGGAACCGGTAATCCAACTTTTTATTAGAAGACTAGCAAGTTGGAAAGCTAATTCTTTATCGATGGCTGGTAGACTTGGGTTGGTTAAATCTGTGTTGTCTTCTTTACCGATTTTTTTTCTCTCTATTTTCAAAATTCCAGTAAAGGTGACTCGGAAATTAAATTCGTTGATGGCTAACTTTCTTTGGGGAGAAAATCAATCTAAGAATCGAATTCACTGGGTGAATTGGAATTTGGTGTGTAAGCCTTTTGAAGAGGGAGGGTTGGGAATCCTTGATATTAGGTTGATGAATAGAGCCTTGCTTGGGAAATGGGTTTGGAAATTCGCAAATGAGAAAAATAGTCAGTGGAAAAAAATGATATGCTGTAAAAATAACGTTAGCAACTTATCTCTTGCATTATCACATGCCGCTTCACCTATAGATTCTTGGGTATGGAGGGGTATTTTGAATAATTATGTTAAAGATGATACAATGGGAGAGTGTTTGAGAACAAATTCCAAGTTCCAATTGGGGAATGGTAGGTCGATTGCCTTCTGGACTGATGTTTGGGTGAATAATTTGACATTGAAAGCTCAATTTCCCAGGATTTTTGCTTTGTCGACGAATAAACGGGGGCTTGTAGCCGAGTTTGGTGGTTTTCATAATAATGTTTGGGTTTGAAATATTCTTTTAAGAAGAAACCTTTGTGACTGGGAATTGGAGCAGTGGATTACTCTTATGTCTTTGCTCGATAATATTGCGGTTTTCGGTTCTGTGGAAGATTTTCTTGCTTGGTCGAGGAATGGGGCTGGTTTGTTCTCAGTCAAGTCTTATAGACAGACGTTGTCGAGCAATTTTGAATGCAAGTTTGAGTGGAAGAAATGGGTGTGGACAGGTTTGGCTCCTCCTAGAGTCCAAACCTTTCTGTGGCAGGTTTGCCATCTTAAATTGGCAGTCCGAGTGGAGTTGAGGAAAAGGGGAATTCCTTTGGATAATGTTCTTTGTCCGTTATGTGGTTATCTTGAGGAAACAGTAGAACACCTATTCTTATTGTGTTC